TTAAAAAAAAAATCCACCAACATTATATATATATTTCTCCCAAATTAAGAAACTAAACCTTGACAGATACCATTTGAGACATATCAACAATCTATATGCATATCCACAATTTAGCTACCAAAAGTTCCCCATCAATATAGCTCTCATACTACTTGCCGCTACCTGAAGAACCTGAAAAAGATTTGGAAGGAAAAGGGTAAGCAGCCACAGCTTAGTGAATAATACATATGTCACGCCCCGAACCCCAACGAGCTCGCGACATCCCCTGCTCCAGTCGAAATGATGCGACGTCCCAGGAACGTCGCCGACCCAACCCAAACATCAGAGCCACATGCTTTGGCGAGCGAATAACAAAACCCCGGACAAATAATGACGACAACGAGGTAGAACAACAGAACAATCCAGCAACCACATATTCATACAATACCAAATCTACAAACATCATATTACAGACATAAATACAGACTAACATCCTCAGGCACCGTTTAAACAAAAGTTCAGGGGTTTGGTTATCTTAACTTCACTATCGGATAACCCAAGTTATACAATCCCTAAAACACCCTAGGGAAAAACCTAAGGGTCGCCCTCTTCCATTCTGCTTCTGAATTTCTAGCTTGAATCTCTGGAACTCACCTGCAGCTCCACTGGGCACCAACAGCAGCTCCCCGGACTTCCAAAAAGAAAAGGCGCACTTCCCGGGTTTAGAGCCGGGGGTCTGAAAGTGGCGATTATACAACCGTGAGACGAATCTCAATAAGTGTACAACCCCAAACCCCACGTAGGCACTCACGTACTGCCAGACGAAACATGCATAACACACAACAATCAACCAAACTAGCAACCACACGCAACCCTACCTGGAATTCCTCATGCACGTCCCTGCACGTTAGTCAACCACACAGCCAGTATGCCACAGAAATACATCACAGCCACGCGCGTGCCCCGATTATAGAGCAAAACCCACTTGGGCACGTCCCATACCATGCCTAGCAGTTTTTACCCCATAATCGAGCATCACACCACGCGATACAAACACACTCGCACACCAACTCACACCACGCGTCACTTTCTCAAACCTCGCACCTCAAGCCAATTCCCGCTCATTCTCAACTCTTCCACTACTACTGCGCCCGCGTAAAATGCATCAGACCAACGGTCTTCTGACCTCGTCAGGCATCGTCACCCCGTCGAGCCGGGCATCATCATCTCGTCAGGGACGGCATCGTCCCGCGTAAATATACATGCCTCGGGACGGAATCCTACACACACTTTCCTTCTACCGCGCCCGCGTAAAACGCATCAGGCCAACGGTCTTCTGACCTCGTCAGGCATCGACACCTCGTCAGGCCGGGCATCGTCACCTCGTCAGGGACGGCATCGTCCCGCGTAAACATACACGCCTCAGGACGGACCTTTTCCCAACCAATCCTACACATCCGTACCTTCGTTCCACTCATACCACACGTACCACACGGCCACTCAAACGCGCTATCACACACAATCTCACACCTCCCATACACATCACAAATGCACACGTTCTCGCCACACGAACACACCACTCCATCACACGTACTTGGCACGCGCATCCAATGCACAATCACATCACCACTCCTCATGGCCACACACATACAGCACACAATCAACCCACAATCAACCCGAAATGCATTTCCGCACCAGCCAACGATCACAAATAATGAAATTATCAGAATAAACCCAATCATGCCGTAACAATTCCAATCAATCACACAATTAATCCCCGATTAATCCAAAACATCACAGCCCTAACTCAACCTCCTAAACCTCGAAATTCATCGCCCAAATCAGTCCACAACCACGCAAACGACCAGCCACTAACTCAGTCCGAGAGAGAGAAAAACCTGGAATATACAAAATCGGGTCCAAACTAGGCAGTTGCACAGTGACAGAAATCCATTTGAAATAAATGGTAAATCAATTCCAAAAATTATGAAATTTGGATATGTTGTACAAAACATCTCGAGGAACATTTTCCGTGAAGAACTAGAAACCCAGTTCTAACCGTAACCACCTCGTATTGACACTCAAAGTCGGACAAAATCCGATTCGCTCGGACAGCCCCTCAGGCCATCAAAATACAACTCATTCAGTATCCAAATCATTTTGGAAAGCATTGAAATTTTTATATGTTATAGCCACAAATGTCCCCAACAATTTTTGTGAAGGAAGTATTTTGAAAATAGGCCTGAAAAAATTTATAAAAATTCGAAAAGACCCGAAGGTCGGGTGAACAGTAAATCGGGCAGTTTTATTTCGGTCCAAAGATGGACTTCCGAATGGCATCAAATTATTTCTAAAAATTCCTAAATTAAAATATGTTATACTTCAAGATGTTGGGAACAACTTTCATGAAGAACACTTCCTCAAATTCGGGTCACACAAGTCACAGTAAAAATAGCAAAAACCAGCGACGCAGCAGCAACCTAACTGAAAATCAGCCAACACACACCACCGAGCAAACCAGCCACTAAATTCATTCTAAACCGAGCCCTAAACAAGCCTAACAATACCCGAAGTCCTAGGTGACATTTGGGGAGGTCACTTACCTAAGAAAGGCGAGACGAACGGGCTGGATGGGTGGCTGAAACGGGCGGAACAGCAGCAGCAGCAGCAGCTCTGGCGGTGATGGAAGGAAAAGAAGATGAAGAGAGTGAGAGAGAGAGAGAGAGAGAGAGAGAGAGAGAGAGAGAGAGAGAGAGAGAGAGAGAGAGAGAGAGAGAGAGAGAGTGATCGTGGGGCTGGCTGAATGAGAAGGAAGAGAGAGAGAGGGAGTCCAATCTGGTCAAAGATGATGGCTAAAGGGCGCCACGTGTCGCGATCTGGGAGTTTTGATCAAAATACCCCTAATCCGATGGCCCTCGTTCAATCCTATCCAATAATTGAAGGGCAAAAGCGTCCAAGGTCCAATAATGCAGCTGAAAACCTTTAATAATTATCCCAAATAATTTGCCCAAAAATTCGGAACTGAAACGGGCCCAGGGGCAAAATGGTCATTTTTCCGGTCCCAGGACGAAATTCCAATTTTTGTCCAAATCAACTCTAAATATGCGTGACCAACATAATATGGCGTCGGAATCGTGAAAATAGCTTCTTAAGCCCTCGAAAATCGACTGCAAAGTCCTGGGAATAAAATAATATTTTTTTTCACTTCCGAGCCAAAATTCCAATTTTTGACCGAAACAACTCTAAATGCGCGTGGCCACCCCAAAATGACACTAGCCTCGAAAAATAACCTCAAACGACCTCAAAATCCAACATCAGTGTCCACAGGGGCAAAACCGCAATTTTTCCGGCCCCGGACCGAAATCCATTTTTTTTGCAGAAATGGGTGGCCCCAAGGTTGGCCAAGCCAAAAACGTCATCGGCCACTCAAAATTGTCACTTTCAAAATTCTCAATTCCCGGGCCCGAATTCTAAGAAATGACTAAAATTGAACAATCGCGACTTTAGCTTATCTCTGGCTAACGGGTGGCTCTCTGGAATTACACGCTCTCGACCCGTGATCGACACTAAGTCAAATCACGTTTAAGTTTACTCCACCCGGGACGACCTCGGTTGTCATATAATTGCGAGGGTCTGTCGCTAGTTCCCTTCGGACACGATCAATCAAGTAGACCGGTCTCGGTTGGCTCAAAACATTCCCTCGTCAATCCATATGGTCGAAGATCGTACCCAGGTCGAGTTCTTTGGTCGTGCGAACTCAATCCCGTAACGGCCCTACCCCTAAGGTTAGCATCCCGAGAATGCGCGGGTCCCAGGTGAGATCTCACTATAGTGCATTGGTCAAATTCATTTCCTAGATCCCGGGAAAATGATCGAAAATTCAGACTGTTACAACATATCTCTTTCACGCAGATCAAGCACCCATTATGCATATTTACAAAATCATAATGAATAATCCCAAATATGATTGATAATATAAGTACAACTTCAAATATAAGTTATTTCCTTTCGGCATAAATTTGTACGCATACGGTCAAAATGAACAATGAAATACGCGTTCACATGAATAGTAAAATACTGAAATGCTCGATTTTTTTAGATATTGCAGTTTGTATACATACAATACCAAAAGTGGGTTATATCTTTCCACAAAACTTTATACACATACGAAATCCTCAATTTAGCATATGTACGAGGTCAAAAACAAGTTTTATCTTTTCAACAAAGTTACATACATATTTGAACTACTCATTTCCTAGGTAATATCAAAACAAAATATTAATAGTCTGGTTTATTGATCAATCTCAATAACTCATATATCTATGGTCTATTCCATTGATTAATCTTATCAAATCGCACATCGATGGTCTGTTCCATCAACTAATCTCAAATCAAATATCAATGGTTCATTCTATTGACCAAACTTGTATCACACATCAATGGTCTTTTCCATTGATCAATCTCATATCACATAACATCACATCTCAAGGTCCTAGAGGTAGCTCACACGAGACTCATGTCATCATGTAGCACTTAGCTCTTGAGTAGTACCAGGCTTTAGAAGTGGCTCCTACGTGACTCGCATCCCTATGTAGCACTTAGCCTTTGTACAGTATAAAGCCCTAGAAATGGTTCCCATGAGACATGCATCTCTGTGTAGTACTTAGCCCTTATACAATATGCGTACTCACAACTTTTCACTGGATTCACAGCAATCATGAACATCAATCCATCATCCCAATATTTCACAAGACCAATCCAAATCCATCTCATAATCAGAATATATTTTACAAACTAAAACATATATTTTTTCACAATTTCGTTCATCAAACAGAATATATTTCGCAAGGCATTTCTTACACCATTTCGGAATTCCTTTCATAAACCAAGTTCATCAATCAGTATATATATTGCTTTTCACGACACATTTCCTAAAACGTTTCCCAAACCATTCTCAAATACAAAAAACGTAGTAAATGCTTGATCTAGATTTTATGCAACAAACATGCTTTAATAACTTATATGATACTCAAATTTTTATCATTTTCAAGACATGAGTTTACAAACTCATAAAAGATATATCACCACTCACTTGGGAATACTTACATTATTATATGCGCCGACGATCTCGTATTCTAACAATTAAACAATAATCGACATCAACACCAAGTACAATACTACAACAACTACGAATTGGCTAAACTATGCTTAAACACTAACAAAACAACTTTTACGCATCAATAAATTGCACACCCAAAGCAATTATTCAAGCTATTCGTAACACGGAACTCGCATATGAAACCCTAAAATTTTGCTCCGACAAAACCGTTGCTCCAAATTGACTCCCATCAGCTCTGCAATGCCATAATCCACAATTTCCATGAAATCCCAAAACGCAATAACTCAAAAATTGGACTTCGAGGCTCAAATTTCACAAAACTTCGAATTTAAGGCATAATTCCAAAAATTTCTCCGATTGGAAGAACGAAGGGTGTAAGTACTTACCAGGCATTACGATACGTAATTGATCCAACTTGACGAAGCATCAATGGCATGTATGCGAAACCCCGCTTCTCTTTTTCCCTTTCTTCTTCTTTCTTTTTCCCTTTTCCTTTTCTTCTTTCTTGGTGGTGCGTTTCTCTCGGCCTCTCCTTTTGCCCTTTTTAATGAGATGAACGTCCATTTTGTTTTGACCTTTGACTTGGTCAAACTCCAAGTATTACATAAATCAACTCTCGGAGATTCAGAACCGAGACTTGATTTTTTTTTTATCTATCCTATTTTAACTCTCCCTCTTATACTTTTACTTTGTCTCTTTACAGAACGTGGAGTCGAATCTCACACCTGAAATAAAACATCCACACCCCACCAAATCTCCTTACCACTGGGCCACGTGCCTAGTGGTGACGAATTAATTAACTAGAATGAAGAATGGCAACAATCAAGGCGGTGTTAAGCACGAATTTCACCAGCAGACCTGACGAAAGCCCAGGCCCGTGATGGCTCACGATTGCAAAGTCCTTGCAATGTCGCCCATGGATGCTAGATCTTATTTTTCTTCTTCATTTTCTCTTTCTTGTTGTAATCGAAGGGATTCTTGATGCCACTGCCGATTGCCGAACGCGGAGAATTTGCCTGTGGTATTTTGTGGCCCTGCACAGATCCAATGTGATATACACATAAGGAATTCATGGAAACGATAAATTCCAACTTTGTTTTGTTAAAAAGAATTGTAAACAGAACTGGAGCAATGTACCTTAAAGAGGTCGCGCTCCAGCTTCTTAGACTAAAAGGAGATGTCCTGTCAAAGACTGAAAGTACAATGGTAGTTGGTACCGCAAATTTCCACTTCACATTCCCATTCGCGTAATTCTGAAAGATGGGAAAGATCACAAGAGAAAACTTGCACCTTCCTGAGACGCGGTAAATTTTTGAGCCCATCAAGGGTGGTTATACTGCATCGAGATATTTTCAGAACTTCCAAAAGCTTTAAATCTTCAAGACCATCAATCTTTGCTAAATCGCAGCCGTCTAGTTCTAGTTCTGACAGATATTTCAGACTAGAAAATTTTGACTCTTGAATCTTGCAATGTTTGAGACGCAGAGTCGATAAGCTTGAAGTCGATGAAAGTTGCGTGAGGTCTGGCTCCTTCATGTAGGATAAAGAGAGTTCCCGGAACTGAGTAAGGGCACTAAAATTCCCAGGGAGATTGGTGACCATTGGAAGGGACAATTGCAAGGTCTCTAGACTTGGTAATCTCGTGATCCACCCCATATTTGGGGTCTTCTGACTCAATATCCTCATTAGCCATCCAGTTTTCGGCTGCTCAACATCTTTCAAAAGTAACTCTTTTAGATTTGTCAGATATGACAAGTCGGGGACTGTCATTTCTTTGGATCCCCAGACAAGACTGAGTAAACTGGAGGGCAACTTCGGTAGAGCCCGAAGTTGGTCGCAGTCAAGTATGTCAAGGGTTTGGAGGCGAGAGAGATGGCAAATGCTCATAGGCAGCCCAGCAACAACAGATGACGATAATCTCAAAATTCTCAAAGAGGATAATCCTGAAATATCACAACGTACTTCACCCTCCAAACTTCTGCAGCAAGAGAAGTCTATCTCCTCCAGGTTCTCTAAGTTCACAATATTTTCAGGAAAGTTTCGTAGGGGAGTGTGCGCCATCTTCAGCGTCTTCAAATTCCTCAAATCCTTAATTGACCGTGGCATTTTCATGATTCCAGTGTATGAAAGGTCCATTACCTCCAGCAGCTCCAGCTTCCCGATGGAAGTTGGAAGTTTACCCAACTTCCAACAATTCCTTAAAGAAAGTCTGCGAAGTTTCTGAAGAAATCCAACAGTATTTGGAAGCCCATCAATATCAGCACCATCCAGAGCAAGACTTGAGAGATTCCTTAGGCGGCCAATTGTGGATATATCTTGCAAATATTGACAGTCACAAACACTAAGTATTTCAAGATTCTCCAAAGAACCTTCCGGGAAACATATTCTATGGATGCCAGTTCCATCAATCAGAAGTTCCCTCAAAGATTTCATGCAGCACAGTTCTTGGGGCAACTGCTTGACTCGGCAGCACTTTCTCAAATTTAAGGAACTCAAGTTCTTCAGATTACTAATGAATGGCCCAATTTGAGATAACTGAGTACAATCTTCCAGTATCAAAATCTCCAAATTGATTGGAGCTCGAAAGTTCAACGATGCAGGTAACTGAACACATCCTTGTAGGTTCAAGACTTTCAATTCCTCCACCTTCTGCCAAGTGCAAAAGAAGATATCAAACTTTACTCGCTCATATCTGTCATCTTAACACGAGATTTAAAAAGCAAATCTCCGTCATACCTCCATGATTTGTCTCCAGACTCGTGAATCTTCAGTGACTGAACTCCAAGACAGATCGAGAATGGCTAACTTCTTCAAATGCATATTACCTAGCTCAGAAATCAAACGACATGCTCGCCATTCAAGCCATCTCAAATTTGGAAGAAGATTTTCGGTGTTTCCCTGAATGTTAGCCCGGTCCAGTCTGAGGTACCTCAAGTTCGACATTTTATGAAATTCTTCACATGTAAAACAGACGGTGCAACCCTCTTCAACCGTTAGACCAATGCCTTCCACAGTTCCAGTACCCTGCCAATTCTCAATTGGGGAAGAACGTATGAGTAATTTGAGAACTTTAATCTTTTACTCCTTTTAATGAAATGAAACAAATCAGATTTACAAAGTCAGTGGGTATCCACTACGGATTCTAAATTGTGTTAAGAACAAATCCGTTTCTTTTCCCTTCCAGATTGAATAAAGAAAAGCAAGTTTATGTTAATGGGAACGGAAGGCTTATCTGAATGCTTTAAGTAACCCACTAAAAATTTCCAGAGGCTTTGAGCACTTACCTTACTATCCTTTAGAATGGAAAGTGCATCGCTGTGATTCCAAAACCTGCAGCGCTCATGAAGATCTTTTCTTTCGACAAGTTTCCTGCCAAAGTCTCTTAACAGGTCATGCATTCTTAATTCATTATTTTCTCCAATTTCCAAGAAATTGATCTCACGAAGGCGTTTTATTCCTCTAGCAGGATAGTAATCACAAGCCTCCCACATGTAAGAGGGAATCCTCACATCCTTTCCAATAAAAAAGCATGCTATGTCCAGGAATATCTCCCTTGTACGAACATCTAAAGATTCGTAACTGTCCTTAAAGGCAGATTCAACTTTATTTCCTTGGTCTTCTTTTAATAAATTCAAGGTCTCTCTCCATATTCGTATATCATCCTTATTGGCGCATAAATATGAAGCCGCATCCACAATAGCCGAAGGAAGCCCTCCGATGGCTTTGACGATGTCTATGGACAGGGGATCATAGTCAGAGACATCTTGGAGAGCATTCCCTTGGAAAGCATGCTTACGAAAGAGTTGAAGAGCATGGTGATATCTCATGGGTTCAACCTTGTATTCTTCGGCTGGTCCATCGTTAAAACCATCTAGAACATTCCTTACATCTGTGGTCACAATTATCCTACTTCCTGGACCAAACCAACTAAGTTTCTCGGCTAATGCTTTAGTTTGCTCAATCTCATGCACATCGTCAAGGACAATGAGAACCTTCATAACATTAAATAGACTTGCTATTTTTTTAGTACCTTCATCAGAAGATTTAAGTGGTGCAGGTTTTTCTTTTTGAAGGTCAGCAATCAACATTTCTTGTGAAAACATGACTCCTTTCGAATTAATACCTTCAAGGAAGCTACATTCATCAAACAACATATGCATCTTGTTGAAGACAACCTTTGCAAGTGTAGTCTTTCCAACCCCTGGCATTCCACATATTCCAACTACACGTACATCTTGTCCACATACTTCAATCGCTTGTCCATCGTTGTAGACAACACCAAGCTTTCTCATCATCTCTTGAACATGAAGATCAAATCCAACTAGTTTTTCGGTTACAACTTGGTCATCCTTCTTCAACACCTGCCTGACCCGTCTGAGAACTTCTTTTACGAGCTGGGACTCGTGCCTGCAAAACACAAGTGACGAGGCCCAAGGATGACAACAAAGTCACCAAAATTATTAAAAACTAGACAAAAATCAAGTGGGGAATGAACCGATGAAAATTAAATCGACCAAAAGTGGCAGGGGAATCTTCAATGAAAATGGACAGCAAGTTTTAATGCGTGGTCTATTTCCCTTTCATGCACATAGCAATTATGAAATTGATATCATGCTATCTGCAAAACAAAAGTTCTCGCTAAGGGGGAACGAATAGAACGTGGTGGACCAGGCCATCTGGTCTTAGCTTGCGGTTATGTCGTGAGTCTAGTCATTTTCAAATGGCCATTGTAATCGAGTCGTCGGTTATTCAATAGGCATATCGAGCTACAACCTGTTAAATCATCGATCCATTTCATAAGAATAACCTTAAAGATCTCTTGACCATGCATCACGAACGATATGATTACGTATACTATTTATTCAAAAAGGTTCTGGTTCATTTTCACATCACCCTAAACCTTTTTTTTATTTATCTAGGAAACAAAAAAGAAACCAGAAGTAAAAGAGTTACCCCCCATTTACGATCTCCCGATGATATCCGCTTAATCCCCCAATCTGTCGAAGAACCTCCTTCCATGTTTTAATGGTATTTGAGTTGACTCCGTCCTTCTCATGTTGATGGAAGGACGTTTCAAAATCCCCAGCCTGGTGTTTTACATCGGAGGGACTAACATCATAGAAAATCGGGACAATAGTCTGTCCGTTAGATTTTCTGCACTCCCACATTTGTACCACCTCCATGAGGCAACTTTTACTGGAAGCATAGTCTTTGGAGAGGATGGCTATCGAGATCCTCGACCGCTTGATCGCTTCTATTAGCTCCGGCTTGATCTCTCCTCCAGCATGGAGATTTTCGTCGTCTTTAAAGACCTCGATCCCTGCATCTATCAATTTGCTGTAAAGGTGATCTGTGAATCCTCTGCGAGTATCCACACCTCTAAAACTCAAGAATACTTCGTAGTTGGTTCTAGACAATGACGTTGAGGTCGAAGATGATTCCTGTCAAATTAAGGAAACTAAACCACTTCACATAGTGAACATAGCGTTTCAGACTAAGTCTCATGCTTCTGCCCAAACAAAAACAATAAAAAAAATCAAACAAAGTTTTATAGTTCCTATGGAGACAAACCTGACACATCAAGCTTGCCTTACCCAAAAAAAAAAAAAAAAAAAAAACCCGACACAGCGAGCGGCTGCAACTGAACTTGCCATTCACACATTGACTTTTTTTATATAAAAAATTCTCGGAACTTTCCTAACACTCAAGGCCCAGCGTACAGTATCAATAGTGCTCGGACTTTCGATAGCATCTCGTGATTTTTAACATTGAGTGATTCTTATCGTTGATGTCAAAGAAGATTTGCACCATCCCAGAGGTTTTTTAGCATTTGTAGGGTCGAACTATACAAGCAGATACCACTGCCCGCAGCGGCTGTGTTAGTTCGCGCTCTCTGCCTCTCACGAAGGGTGGGGAGTTCGAATCCCAGCGTAGTCGTTAGGGATTCTGAAGTGTGGTGCCGTGATGGTGGGTCCTGCGCTAGCGTCACCCCGGGTTTACGTCGCCAGATGTCGGCTGTACGGCGGTTCCCGGGTCATCAAAAAAAAAAAAAACTATACAAGCAGATGACCGACTCCAACGGATGCATGTCCGAAGAGGTTCTAAATGATAATACAAATCCCAAAGATGCAGAGGAAACTAACCCGGTTTCTTCTCCTCTTTCCGAAAACAACTGCAACAGCAATCACTCCGAGAACAAGAAACACCACAGCCAGTGTTGCCGCCATCGAACCCACCGCTAGCTTGCTCTTCTCTCTCTCTCTCTCTTAGGCACAGGAGGTCTATAGACATCAGATTCATTTTATACATGACCAAGACAGTTGACTTCCGGGCACCCGCTACGCGCTTGGGCAACGCAAGGGAAAATCGTCGGGTACTTCGGTCTCGCCCATCTAACACTCAATGAAGTGGACTAACAAGTGGTCACATAAAAATGAAAGGAAAAAAAACAAAAGAATCAAAAGTACTGAAGTTTGAGAAAATTTCGTGACGAAGGAAAATACTTTTCGAAAAATCATTTTCTAGGAAAATGATTTTTTCTTCGGGTTAGGAAACTTGAAGTATGCATATTTTCTTTGACCATAAATGGTTTTCCATTAATTGATTACTTTCAGCAAACTAAATGTTTGAAAGTTAGAAAACTAATTCCCGAAAAATTATTTTATTCAAACAAACACACTCTTAATTTTTCATCTTGTGGTATGTCCATTTTGACTCTTTTCAAAGGTAAAATACTTTAAATATTTAAATTTTATCTTATATTGATATTAATATGTAAACTTACATGTAATTCATTCTAAGTTTTCGACATGTGGATTATATTATTTAAAGTTTTTACAAGATAGGAAAAAACTACTTCTGACTTCTTAGAAATTACAGTAAATAAGAATATAGGTATTTACTCGATTGAAATTGAAAGACGTTGATTATATTAACGAAATGAGAAGAGGAAAAAAATATCAAATTATGTTAGGTAATCTTAAAATCTTTAAAGAAAATGAGACAAAAAAGGATTTTTCAGTGGTGGTAGTATATAAAGATGATGAAATAAACTAGTAGTTGGTTCTCCTAAGTTGTTTGATTGAATTGGACCCTTGAAGTATAACGAGGAAATATGATCAACTCGATCATAAACTAATTCAAATCTAAACATTTTAATTTTGCTAAGTGAATCTTAAACCATTTTATGAAATGCTAAAAATACTAATGCAACAGTCTTGTAGAGATATTTAGTTAAAATTATGTCTTTTTAATTATTTCTTGAATTTTTCAAAAAAAAATTTCCTTTTTTTTCCTTTTTTTTCCTTTTATGGTTGGTGTATCTTCATTCAAAAGCTTAAGCTCCAAAAGAGCTCAAGTCCGAGTCCGTCAATATATCTAGTTAACACACATTCACTCAAAAATTTAAGTCAATTAGTTATGGACCAACTAGGATATATTAATTGCTCTACACCATACTAATTCTCCGATGTGGAATTTTTATAACACAATTCACATGTGCATCTTGACAGAAGCCTATTCCCAATATGTTTCCAGATCATTCCTTCCTCGCAACTTCCACCATCAAACATTTTGGAAGGAAAATCCTCCGGTCACTGAAGACGACCAAGACTGAGAAGACCGGCTCCTTGAGACGCTAATCGACGTCAAATTCACGGTTGAATTAGATGGCCTGGGGTACATTTCGACGAAATATCTCTCTTGATTTTTGGTTCGTGGATGGTTGCTTTCGGTTGGGCGCTAATCGACAAACTTGACCAAGCTGGTTGTCCATGGCAGCTCGACCATGAAGCTAGTTAGCCGCAAGTCTCGTTTGTGAAGATTTTCCTCGTCTTTACCCTTCAGCTTTGATCATGAAGATTTCCCTTCCTTTTTCAGAAAAGAAGTATGAAGAAGATGAACAGTCAAGAAAATAAAAAAAATCAGAAAATTAATTAAAACTAGACCGTTTCAATATTCTTCCTTTTTTCGACCAAAAAATATATATTCTTCCTTTCAAACAACCACACCCTTTAATGTTTTATCATGTGGCATACCTATTTTGACTCTTTCCAAAGATATAATACTTTAAATATTTAAATTTTATCTTATATTGATATTAATATGTAAACTTACATGCAATTCATTCTAATTTTTTGACATGTGGATCATATTTTAAATTTTTTACGAGATAGAAAAAAGGTACTTCTAACTTCTTAGAAATTACAGTAAATAAGAATGTGGGTATTTACTTGATTGAAATTGAAAGCGGGTGATTATATTAATGAAATGAGAAGAGGGAAAGAAATATCAAATTATGCTAGGTAATTTTAAAAGCTTTAAATAAAATGAGACAAAAAGGATTTCTCAGTGGAAGTAGTATATAAGATGATGAAATAAATTGGTAGGTGGTTCTCCTAAGTTGGTTGATTGGATTGGATCCTTCAAATCTAAATGAGGAAAAATGTTCAACTACGTCATAAACGTATTCAGTTTTAAATTTTTCAATTTTGCTAATGTAATCTTAAACATTTTTATGAAATGCTAATGTAATCCTTCCGGTCAATTTAAACCTGAAAATGCTAACGCAATGGTCCAGTAGACAAATTAAGTCAAAACTATGTTTTTTTACTTAATTTTTTAATTTTCCAGATTATTTCTGTTTTTTCCTCCTTTTTTTTCTTTTACGGTTACTGTATCTTGTCCCTTGTTTCTATACAGTTCGTCTCTCTGGGTAAAACCCAACGTCTTTCCTCTACTTTCATCGGTCAAATACCGGCAAAGTAATCAAGAAAGAAAAATCTGAAGTCTATTCCCAACATGTTTCCAGATCATTACTTCCTGGCGACTCACATGACGAAACATTTATGCTCCGTTTATTTCGCGAAAAATAATTAAAATGAATTATTTAAAAAATATTTTCTTTAAAATGTCCGCTTGTATCACTTGAAATGATTAGTTAATGAATATATTTTATTAATGACAACAATTAATGTCTAAACATTTTTATTGACAGTGAAAATATTTTTTGTTCGTTCATTTTTGTAAGTTATATGAGCGAATAGTTTAGGGAAAATATATTCCAAATCATTCATTTTCAGTGAAACAAACGGAGCCCGAAGAAAAATCCTCCAATTGCTAAAAACGACCAAGACTGAGAAGGCCAGCTCCTCGAGATGCTAATCGTAGTCAAATTCACAATTGAAATAGATGGCCCAGGGTAACTATCGATGAAATATCGCTCTTGATTTGTGGTTTGTGGATGGTTGCTTTTAGGATGGGCAAGACTTGAATTTAGAGCCATTTCGGTTAATGCTTGAAAGCAACAGCATGCGAGGCCTTACAGTTCAGTAGGAGACTCTGAATGATGCCGACGAGATGGGGTCCTCGCAAATCACAGTCACTCACTCATTCACCATAGCCTTGTCTGGTGCAATGTACACCATTCGCTCAATCCTTTCATTAAGGAACAGAAAAAACGTTTCTCGCTTCTTAAGGGAGAGCGTAAGAACCGGAAATCGTTCATCTTGTTCTCTCCTCGTCACACTAAAGAGGGAAAACAAAAGAGAGAAAAATGTCAAAAAAGTCTTAAACATTTGCATTAATGTCAATTTAGTCCTAAATCTTTTTTTTGTGCCAATTCAGTCCTAAACATTTTGTATTAATGTCAATTCAGTCCTAAACCTTTTGCATTGGTGTCAATTCAATCATAAACCTTTTTTTAGTGTCAATTCAGTCGTAAACCTTTTACATTTGTGCCAATTCAGTTCTAAACATTTCACATTGATGCCAATTTAGTCATTCCGGCTAATAGTTATTCACGTGTCGAATGACTGAATTGTTACAAATGCAAAATGTTTAGGATTGAATTTGCACTAAAAAAAGGTTTAGAACTTAATTGGCACAAATGCAAAAGATTTAAGACTGAATTGGCACAAAAAAAAGGTTTAGGACTTTTTTGATACTTTTCCCACAAAAAGAGGTGTTAGGAACCTCTGGATGGGAGCGATCAGGGCGAGCGATGGTTGGACTGCAAGGTTAGCAATTTCATATCAAAATTTGCAAGAAGAATTACATTGAAGTTTCGTGAAAAGGTTCACTACTACATTGGCAAAATTGTACAATTAACGACTGAATTGTAATATATACAATAGGTTAAGGACTGATTCGGTAATTTTCCATATAAATCAAGTTCCGTCCTATACTAAGGTTACGTAAATGGAAAAAATCGGTAATGTTATTGCCAGAAAACATTATTCAATTTTTTTTTGGTTAGCAAGGCAATACAAACCAATGCATCTGCTATGAGGATATTTTGTACTAAAATCTTTAACATCTCCGGACATTTTTGTGCGTTGGTTTGGTGATGACAAAGAATTGTGTTCTTCGATTTGCACAATTTCGGCAGTGAAGTTAGAGTTTCGTCTCTTGACGGCAACTGTAATCTCTGGCTTTTTTACTCAACCTTCTCTCTACGTAGTCTTGTAATCGCATCGAGCTTCATAAATTCGCTAATGTTTTAGGAAGATGACATGAAGCTATTTCGCCTCTTCCTTGGCCGTGATCACGACAAAGTCTTCTCGCTGTTTGAAGATGTCATGCTTTTTTCTACTCTACACTCCTCCAGAAAGCTTTGCCCCCACCCCGCGACAAGACCAACTGCACCATGCCTCTGCTTCTTCACTCGGCCTTCTTCAATGACCACGCAAAATGTTTCAACATATATGGCCAAACGGCATATATTCTCCACTGCACATAATCGGCACTAGCTAATATCGGTGATGTAATTTAAACTCAACCCGGTAATTTGTGAGCAACCCAGTAATTTGCTTTTGATGGTCAATATAGCAAATCACTAATCTTAGGAAATCTCTAATTTTTTACATATTTTGATAATAAATCACTAATCGATGCACAAGAAATAAAAAAATCTCTAATTGATGTACGTGAAATAATATAATTATGCATATTTCGGTAAAAACAATTCCTTCATTCATGCTCTGAAAAGGTTTTAACAATGCCGATTGCTGAGATACCTCTTATGACATAAGATCTCATATTTGACAAATAAGAATCAACAAAAAAATTTCCATCATAAAAAAATTATATAACATGATTAGAATTAAAATATAATAAAGTTACCCACCCATTATTACATATGGAAGGAAAAAAAAGTATATGTTTAGAGAAATATTGTATAACTATGTAGATTTTAAAATAAATATAATAAAGTATATAATATTTAAAAAACAAATTATATAATACGCTCTACAAAATAAAGATATATAATAAAGTTATCCATCCTTACTAGTAGAAAGAAAAAAAGTATATGTTTAGAGAAATTTATTATATAACTATGTATATTAAAAAATAATTAGAACGTAATATATAATA